ATGGAAGGTTGTAGAGGACACTTGTAAGTCCCCCCCCCCCTCCCCCCACATCGCGACTCTACTTCTTCAACCCTGTCGGAATGGCACGCAAAAATGGTCCGGGTAAATTTTATCCAGGTGTGGTAGTCTAGGGTTAAGGAAGCATTTTTCACGTTTATAAGGAAACTTTTTGTTCAGAATTAGTTTATAAAATCTCGAAGTCTAATCGGAACATTCAGACCCACCCTGTACAAAGAGCATAATGCTGAGCTGATTATGAGTGATGGCTGATTATGAGTTATGATATAAAATAGCAAAATATTAATATAAACATGGAACGGAAAAAGAAAAATACGAAAAAGATACCTAATATTCTTATGTGAGTTAGAATGTAGTAGCTTCGATTAGAGTAGAAATAGAAACTAGATTAGCGCTCCATGCAGCAGGCATGGACAGCATAACAACGGCGCACTCAATTCTGGAACTCCTCCTTCCCCATTGTCCTCACGTCACAGCAGCCAGGACAGTTTGCACAAGAACAACTTCTCCAGTGTCGGACTGCCCATCGGACAATTATCGACGTCGCATCTGCACATGCAATCTACCATGAGTTCTGCCACAGCGGCTGCGGTCGCGGCCGCGCAAAAAAAGAAAGGCATTAAAAGTAGCCTTGGTAGATTTTTCAGCAAAAAGGAGAAGGTAAAGAATTTTTCTTTTCTCTTTTATTCTTATATTATACCTTCAACTACGGAAGTCCGTAAAATTTCATGAGATGAAATATCTCTTTACAAAGATATTTTAACATTGTTCAGTTGCTTTTTGAAAGATCACGTATAATAATGAATGCTTTAATAATTTTTTAAAAAGTTTTCAAGCAATTAAATTATAAAGATTCGTATTTGGGATTATATTGTTTGAAAAAGACTAGAAAATTTGAAACTTTTATCGAAATTAGTTCTTCGTGATTTTATTTTACAAGAACTGAAGATTCTATTAAATTTTTACTAGTATATGAAACTAAATATGTATTTTGCTGGGAATTAAATTTTTAGATTAGTTTTAAGAATATTTTTTTAATATTTAATTGTTGATGCTTTTTTTATGTGTTTGTCTAGATTCCTTTACTATTATTATTCATGGAAATAAAGGAGCAAAAATTTTTACACATTGTAAAATCTTATGCATATTTTGTAATGAAAATTTTTCATTCTATTCAATATTTTTAAAAATCTGAATATTTAAAAAATAAATAGCTTTTAATTTTTTCATGATCTTAAATAATTCTGACTTTGAAGCTTACAAATTTTTATTTTCACAAATATATTTAAAAAATCTCAGGGAATATTTTTTTCAATACATTTTTTTAAATGGCTTTGAAATGACTTCGAAAATTATTCGAATATTATTCAATATTCATAGTTTTCGAAAGCCTTTGAGAAATAAAGATCAACTGATATGTATTTATAACGCGGAATAAATAATTATTCTACTATCGGGCATTGTTTGCTAAATTATTTATTTATTATGAATTTTTACTTGCTTATTACTTGGATAGTAATTTAAGACTTGGTTGAAGCGATATTTTGGGTGCGTGCGTGCGTGCGTGCGTGCGTGTAATAACAATTATATTTCTATTAATCCTAAGGCATCATGAGTAATTTTTGGTTAAACTTTCATACACTCTCACGTTGAGAATAACGCAAAAAAATTGCCTTGGCAGTTTATCGTATCTATGGATTAGTTAAAATTTTTTTAAAATTTTAATTCAGGTCTTCAAATTATATTATAAAAGTTACAATAATGTGAAAAATTGGCACGGGGTACGTCGTACCCTTATATGGTCGCCCAAGGTTAATTTTAAAATATTTAAAAAAATTTTTATTAAACTGTTTATAAATTCCTATTTTTATGATGTTTTTTTTATTAATTCTATAAATAAATACAAATTATTTACTATTATATTTTTACGAAAATGAGATAAATGAAATAAGACAAACTGACTATGTTGAATGGTTTGTTACTGATAATAATTATGTAATAAGTTATGTAATTGCATAATTATGTAAATAGTAAAAAGTATTTAGTAAATTACCTAGAAATGATTAGTCAAATTAACGTCGATTAGTTCATATTTTTGTCAGCTTTGATTTTATCATAATTGTTTCCATATTAATTTAGCAATAGCGAATAATTTTATAAGATTTCTATTGTCTTTCAGTCAATTCTATGTAAAATTGACAGATGTTCTAGATTGACAGATGCTTCTATGTAAAGACAGAAAGCATAGTATAATATACATATACATATACTAAAATTTAATGAAGAATTAGTCGAAAGATAATAGAAATTTTATTTATAAATATTCACAATTAGTCAATTAATATAAAAATAAATGATGAAATCGAAAATGATGAAAATATTAGAATTTAAATATCAGAATGAAAATAGAAGAAAATATTAGAATAAAAATATCAGTATTCAATACGATGATTCATTAATGCATTGATATTGAATCGACTTAATTGAATTAATGATACGACTGATAATTTTTGGTTGGTTATATAAGTACAAGAAATACATATATTGAAGTATGTGAACTATATTTTAATAATATAATTGACTTTTAACAAATTATTCAAACATTCAAAATTTTCAAGGTCTTCTTGGTTTTTAACAATTCGATATAATTCGAAATTTGTATTATATATAATTATTTGATACATCTTAAATCTATTACTACTCACCTGTAATTGTTTTTTTATTTCCTTTAATTCAAATATTTAGAATATTTCTAATGTATGTATGTATTTGTAATGATAAAATATTAAAGGAAAAAATTGTTCGTGAAGATAAATATTATAATAGGTAGTATCTTTTTCATGCATACTATTTCAGAGATTTCAAGATTATCTTCATTTTTTTAAATATAAAATTTTATAATCTTTTTTATGATGGGATTTTCATGATATGATTTCTTTACCTATTCTGCATATAAAAATATTAAAGTAAAATGATCAAAAAATTAACAATTTATTAGATATTTTATATTATATTCTTATATATTTTGATATAAAATAATATAAAATATCTCATAAGCTATTAATTTCTTGATGTAACCGTACTTTCATATTTTTATATACAGAATAATAAGATAAATCAATTGGAGTATTAGAAACATATAATTGTTTTAAAAAAGAATTATGCAATTTGCAATTATATGCTTTATTTAAAAAATAATTGTTTGTTTTTTTGCATCAATAAATTTATCATTATTCTGTATAAAAGTATTAAGATAAGATAATAAGTTAAAATAAGATTATAATTATTAAGAAATTAATAGTTTATGTGATATTTTAGATTTCAAAATATTTTTAAAAAAGTTTAAAATATCTTATAAACTATTAATTTGTTAATAATTCTATTTTAATACTTTTATATACAAAATAACTAAAGAAATCATATTATGTAAAACAGTTATATATATAATAGTATACATAATTCCATTTAAAAAATAATAAAAATAACTTTAACATCTCATTGTTAGTAAAATAAAAAGCACGAAAAAATGCTGTTTATTATAATATTTGTTCCTTCAAAACGAATTCTTTAATATTTTGTTGTATTACTAAAATCATCAAAGATATTCTAAGTGGTAACCTCTTAAGTTAAAGGAAACACTATAAGCAAAAGTTTTTTCTATTTTATTATTAATCTTTCATAAAGTCTATTGTTTTATATAAGAATAATATTTCCAATATATTACTTTTTATATTGTTTTAGTATTACATAATTGTAATTAATTAGTCAATCATCATAAAATTTCACATTAATATAATGTAATGTATATTTATTATTTATTCCATTTATGGATCATTCTCCACAGAAAAGTTTACTGTGAACTCACAAACTTCCGCATAATGAATATGAAATTTATTAAAATAGAGAAATTTGATCTACATTGGATATTAAACGTTTTGTCTGTGTCGTAATTATTATCTTTTTATTATTTAGATTAAAGGGAAAGATACACCAATGCCAGGGGATGTATTAGGTATGGGAGGCGCAAGTACACCAGCTGATCCAGATTACGGGGACAGTGTGTGTGTAGCTGGTACGCTTGGAAATAAAAGTGATTTTGATCGCAGAAAAAAGAAAAGGTATTTACATTAAATTATAACACTTTATTATCTTAATAGATTTTAGGAATTTTATAACATTTGGAATTTATAAAATCTATATACGATGCTATGGATTAATTGGAATTTATATGATATTATGATAAAAAAGTATTATAATAATAATTTAATGCATATAAAGTGCTAGGAGCCGAAGCTAGGATGTATTTTCGCTCCAATATACATATATGTGAACATCATATACATAGGTTTCGTCTAATAATAAAAATGCATTGATCATGTAGCTGTATAGTGTAGATGGAAGTCCAATTCAAGGTACAGATCAAGAGATTTCACATGTCTTTTCGAGCACTTTATATACATTAAATTATTATTAATTTATTGAGCCTCTAACAAATTTCATTAAGTAATTAGAATGTAATTCGCGCGCGCGCGCGCACGCACACGCACACGCGCACGCGCGCGCGCACACACACACACACACACACACACACACACACACACACACACCAGAAAACACGATAATCTCGTGGCAAGTCTGTTAAAAATTACTAAAAATCATATAACCAACCGTGTCTATACATATATGCGAGTTGGCGAATTGTGAGTACTGTATTTTTCGAATCTTAATAACTGTACCAATTTTGAATAGGTATAATCAATATCTCTTCGAATTACATAATGAAAATGTTTTTATTTTTTCGCTACGTACTCTATCAACGGAAATATTATGACGCAAAGTCCAAAATGTGGAAATACAAAATTAAGAAATGTCATCGTTGTGTTTAAAATTACGAAAAAATTACTTTCTTGAAATTTGTCTATTTTTAGGGATCAGAATACGTGATGCTTTAATTTTGCTCGAATATATTATATGAATATATTAAATATATATATTAAATAATATATTAAATAATATATTCAATATATTATAAACATATTACAATAATATATTAAATAATATATTCAATATATTATAAATGTATTACAAGTACTTGATAAAGTGCGCAAAATTTGGCACTTCAATTGTCAAGCTGACTAATAGCTGATTGAAGCGAGAATTGTAGTACGGAAGAAAGAGAGAAATTATATCACACTTTTAACTCACAAAGGGAAGGCCAGGTCAGTGCATCACGGATCTTGACAATTTTTTGATGAAACTAGAGGCAAAATAAAGATATAATGTCCGAGCGTTTGATTGAATGGGTCTTAGTTTTTGAGTAAGAATTTTCGAAAAATAAATTTTTAAATAATAATATGCAATATTTAATAATAAAAAACGATATGTTTCTTTCATTCAACATTGGTATAGCCCGGTGAGTAAAGGGCTTGCTTTCCAATCCGGGAGTCCATGTTAAATCCTGGAACTGCAATTTTTTTTAATACATGTTTTTATTTTATTTTTTCATTTTTTATTACTGATATTGTAATATATAACTTTTTTACATAAAAATTTGTATTTTTCCCCAAGCATTATTATAACCGATGTTGAATGAAAGAAATATAACGCTTTTTATTATTAAATATTGAATATTATTATTTAAAAATTTATTTTTCGAAAATTTTTACTCGAAAACTAAGGTCCATTCAATCAAACGCTCGGACACTATATCTTTATTTTGACTCTAGTTTTACCAAAAAAATTGGGATCAGGATCTGTGATGCACTGATTTGGCCTTCCCTTTATCAGTAGTACCTAAGTAACACAACGCAAAATGTGATTTTTGAGTTATTATAAATGAGTTAAATAAACATTACTTTATCAATTATTTGATTAGTTAGTAATTTTCTATCAAGTTAAAAATAGTTTTCCTCTTCTAGGAAAATTAATTAATTTTTAAGTGACTTTTTTTGTTTGTGATGTTTATATAGTCCAAAGCTAGCCAAAGTTGACCGAAGATCTAACAATAAGTGCACTTGTATGTGCTTTCTTTTTTTGTTGGAGGATATTATTGTCTCACATGTTTACATAATAGAGATGTAGACATAATAGAGATGTTGTTATGGAGATATTATCAACAATTTCCTTCAATGCAGCATTAGTGAGAAACTGCTTACAAACATTGCATTGTGTCGAAAATGAGAAAAAGAACATTTGTTAATGGACCATAATAATGACACATCTTAATGAAAAATTTATACATTTCGAACTATGCACGTAGAGAACACACGTTGATTAAAATACTTTTATAATTCAATCGAAGCTATTAAGCCTATTCAAAATTTGATCGGTTCAATCGTTATTGAGATTTAATAATCTAAGAGTCTCTCAACTTATAGTTGATTTGCGTATAGACATATGTGTTCTACGCTATTGCGCATACACAAGTGAGAGATACTACTATATATCTCTTGATATTAATTGTTACAAAAAAGAAGTGACAGCTTTAAAATATTGTTAATTTCTTAACAAGATGTCTAAAATGCTTAAAAGAAAGTAGGAACTATTTTGATCAACTATTTTAAATAAATATCATTATACAATTATCATTGGAAGTAAAAAATGCTCAAGTTCTATTTATTATAATTTTTTAGTTTTATGGATAAGAAAATGATAAATAAAATTTTTGAATAATTTTTATAAGAAAGCCTTTGCTAGAGTTTTTCACTTTAATTAAATTGCAATTTTTATTAGACTTTAAGATAAACGGACTAGTGAAACGGATATAGGAACTATGTCCCGGATACTTACAAAATTTATTAATCTCAAGTGCTTTTTTTATTCTAATATCAAAATTTAATTATAAAAATATTACAATTAAATTATAATATTATAAAAAAAAGTATTTGAGATTACTTAATAATAAGTATGTGTCCCGATATAAGTACATGCGTTCAGTCACTGGTACGTTTACCTTAATTGACACTAACCTTGGTGTCTTTATACGTATGAATCCTTGTAGCAAACCGTTATAATTCTGATATCGTGATAATAAACTGTGATAAATATATCGATCTACACCACGTTATATTGAGATTGCAAAAAAATTTATAATTACTGCGATCTTCTATATACATTTCATATTTTAGTCTAAGCATGTTTGGTAGTATGTTGGATTCCTCGCGGCACGAGCTTTTAGCGGAAGCGATGAAAGCTGGAACACCCTTTGCTTTATGGAACGGACCAACAGTAGTCGCCTGGTTAGAACTCTGGGTGGGCATGCCGACGTGGTATGTCGCCGCTTGCCGAGCAAACGTCAAAAGCGGTGCTATCATGAGTGCTCTCAGCGATACTGAAATTCAACGAGAGATTGGTATAAGGTATGTTGTAAAAATGTTTTAAAAATTATATAAAAAAAACAATAGAGACGAAAATTAATTATAAATAATAAATTATATTAATATATTAAGGTTAATTATAAGTTATATTGTGACAATATACTGTTATAGTTCGTTACAACATTACAATCGTTTATAATTGATTTATGTATTTTTGTGACAGCAATCCTTTACACCGATTAAAGCTGAGACTAGCCATTCAGGAGATGGTGTCGCTTACGAGTCCGTCAGCGCCGAAAACTTCTCGCACAACATTAGCATTTGGTGATATGAACCACGAGTGGATAGGTAATGTCTGGTTACCAAGTCTCGGACTGCCTCAATACCGGTCCACTTTTATGGAGTGCCTTGTTGATGCTAGAATGCTCGATCATCTTACAAAAAAGGATCTTCGCGGTCAGCTGAGAATGGTTGACAGTTTCCACAGGTAGAGAAAGAACACGTACAATGATTAAGGCATTCAGAAAGTCATCTAAGCTTTTAGTGTTTATATTATTAATATATTTAAATACTACACTATTTTTTTATATTTATAATTGCGTGTTATGGAATAATTACAATTATTACAATATATTTTTAATATATTATCGCAGAACAAGTTTGCAGTATGGCATTTCCTGCTTAAAGCGACTAAATTATGATAGACAACAATTAGAAGAGAGAAGACGAGTGGCAGAAAGTGCCAATATAGATGTACTCGTCTGGAGTAATGATCGTGTTATAAGATGGGTACAATCGATTGGTTTAAAGGTAAACATTTTTAAATATTTTACTGATGAATGGTTATTTATAAAAAGAGATTAAAATATATTTTATACTTGTAGGAATATGGGAATAATCTTTTAGAATCAGGTGTGCACGGTGCGCTCATAGCCCTAGACGAAAGTTTTGATGCGAATAGTTTTGCATTAACTTTACAAATTCCTACACAAAATACACAGGTAAATGCGAACTGTCCGCAGAGTTTCCCACTACGCTTAATTGCATTGTAACAAAAACATAAATGAATACTATATTATTTTCGCAGGCAAGACAATTGCTAGAGATGGAATTTTCCAATCTGTTATCGATGGCGACGGAAAGGCGTCTGGACGAGAATAGCATGAAATCCTGATCCATCTCGTCAAATCGGCTGCCTCATATTCAACCGCATCATGTCTAGTCCAAAACCCCAGTTATTGCTACTATCTATGAGCAAGTGTGTTGTAAAAGTTGTAAGAGCTTTAAGTATCATGCTAGGAGTCTCCATATTGTTATGAAAAATGTGACATTTGATAATATCGAGATGTGTTTTGACATAAGCTGTTAAGATAAGCTTATATGACATTCGATACTTAAGGATTCATCTGACCGATTTTTATGCCGCATAAAGTGCATATAAAGTGATGCGCCACATGCATTATATATCTTTTATGATAAAGAAGAGAAAAGAGCAGTTATTTCGAGCGGTTTTTTATATAGATATTGAAATGTAGCAAGCAGTCATTGGATTATATTACCTGAAAGACACTGCGATGTATAATAGCACTCTCCTTAAAAGCACAAGATATCAATTGCAGACGATTACGACAATAATTCTCTCTGAGTTAGCTTTATTTATTTATAAAGTCGATAAGTCTCAGTATTATATCATGTAATAGAGTAACACGTATTTGTTGTACGACTTGGTATGACATATGTACTTATAATGTTCAATAAATATTTAAAGCTTCTGACTAGTCACTGCGGCCATATTGGAATCGTGACGTCATAATTAAGCGAGAAATGACACATAAAAGTCTGTTGCGTGCCATTTTTAAATAAAGAAAATTTCGATGAAATAAAATGGGATTGGTTTAAAATACTTGTAAAAATGGACGGAAACTATCCTTTTTCCTCTTGATGTCAGTAAATCCTTCTATTTATAGAAAAAGTGCATGTAAAGTCGATTACTTGCATTTTTTGAAGTTTATTGTTGTTGCTTTTCTGCGATGCCGATACTTTTTCTCGCTGTGCTTACTTCGTGTAAGTAATAGTCATTACATTTTCATATTTTTATGTATTGAGGCTAATAGTGTAATAACAAGTATAGTAAAAATATTAATAAATATTATAGAGCTCGCGAAGCGTGCGTCTGTAAAGCTAATAGTCGTAAAAGATACATAGTAAAGCCTATTCAGACAAGAAAACTTACGATTTGACAGCTGTTGAAAGAAGTGAAAAATATGCTTTTTACGTATAAAATTCAATAATAATTTTATTAGTTTCCGTTTATTTTTACGAATTTGAATTTTAAGAGTAAAAAATATGCTTTTATGTATAAAATTCAATAATTTTATTAGTTTCCGTCCATTTGAATTTTAAATAAATAAGACAAATCATATTTTCACAATTAAGCATATAATAAAGAAATGGCATGCAATACAAAATTCATCGTCAACATTTTTCACAATAAAGTCCGTTATTCTCTTCAAGTCAAGTATTTACTTCACATTCGACTGTGATTATAGCAATTTTTACTAATTACGACACATTGTAGAATTTTTACGGTTTATGACTTATAACACCGAAATAAGACGTACTATAAATAGAGATTCTATAAGAAAAGACTCGCCAACTCGACAGGCTCTGATTGGCTGGGGTTCGGGTCGCATAATTGTTCTTCATAAAGTCACACTATTTTGATTGATTGGAGCACAGTTATGCAATTCAAACCCCAGCCAATCAGAATTCACTAAACAATCACGTGACGAGTTGGCGAGCGATTCTCTTCTTACGGGATCTCTATTTAGTATACGTCATATTTCGGTGTTATAAGTCATAAACCGTAAAAATTCTATAATGTATCGTATAGGATCTCTAATTATAAAACGGGCTTGATCTTTGACTATATAGTCAAAGGGCTTGATACAAAAAACAAGGTTCCAATTTCTACCGCGATATGGTATCGTCACCGTTGACGCAGAGTTCTTAGCTGACTAGTCAGGGGCCTGGCAGGGTTATACTTTGTACCGCACAAAGAAGTGGAAAAACAGAAGTCTACGATATTATTGCTTTTGAGGAAACTGTTTATATACAAGATGTCCTGTAATTGATTAATATGACCGGAAAAGTAAATCTAAAGTAAAAAAAAAATTAAAAGTATTAAATTTTTTTTGTTCTCTTTGTTAAACTTAGATAGATAACTGAATAAATTTTGTTATTAAATTTATTTTAATGTTTATCAGAAAACAAATTATATAAGATTTTATTTTAAAAGCTAAAGATAAACTTAATGTTATGTGCACGCGCGCGCACACACACACACGCGCGACTCCAAAAAAAAAACTTCAATAATTAAAATTATTTTTTAATTATTCACTGCAGAATATGTTTGTAATTTAAATATATAAATATTTCTATTATTTTTATAATAGAAAAATATGTTTGAAGAAAGATATTTATTTTATATAACATATATAAATACATATTTTTGATCAAGAAGAACCTTTTCCCATGGTCACAATTTTTAATATTTCAAACGTTGACATTTTTTTAAAATAAAACCATATGATTATGTATGATAATATTTTACATAAATTAATTTTCTGAAAATATGTTTTATTGAGTATTTATAAAAATATTAAAGTAAAATTATTTTAAAACAAAATAGTCTCTTTATAAGGTATATTTTGTGTCATATTTTGTTTTAGTATATATATATATTGCGACAAGATATTAAATATGTAGAATATATTCACTTTTCAATGATTTTATTTTAATATTTTTATATACAAAGTAAGGAAAAATATGTAAAAGACATACATTTGTACATAGATATAAATTGATTATGAAAAGATGTAAGGTGTACAATATTACATTAAAAAATTGCAGTTATACATTACAATGTTGTATGTATTTGTGCAAAAATAGAAAATTGCCAATTAATTTCGTTATGAGTGTACGAAAGTATTTAATTATTCTAAATCAAAATATAAAAATACATAATGCAAAAAAACTTTATTTATACTTTTATGTAAAAATTTATTTTATTTTTTACATATATTTAAGTCACCTTACTTCCTAAACTATACTTGTATTATAGGACACCTTGTATATGTATTCATATACAAAAGCTGCTATGTTTCTGTATCTATAATATTAGATAATATAGAGCTAGAAAGCTGTGCATATATAGAAATTACCGGTTTATTTTTACAGTCAGAGTTTGAGTATTTGGTTTTTTGTTATTTTGATTAATTTTCATAATATTTCCAGCGTCATGTATATTATACTAGATACTATGTATACTAGCACGTAATATATATTGTATTATATGTGAAGAGATGGCAATTTATCGTTTTTTATTTACTAGAAGGATTTATAACAGACATTTTATACTACAAGATGTTTACGAATACAATTATACGAACATGTATTAGTGAATATGTTGTAAGATTAGACAACTTCTTCAACTAAATTATATATTTTATACGTGAGGCTACTGACCGATTTTAAGTATATCATTCATACAACAATTATTGGATTTAATATTTCATGGCAGTGACAAATATCCATTATTGTGTATACTTTTATGTTGCGTATAATTAACCTCTTCGGCACGATTATTGACTAAAGTCGACATCCACGAAAGGCATACATATAACATGTCTTTGACTAAAAATATGAAGACGATTCGCTTGTCTTGGCTGTGAAGTAATACTACGCGGCAGACGTGCGCCGTACCGAAGAGGTTAATAAGCATGGTCGGTAGTAGAACAATTAATGCAAGGCATATGGTAGTCGTAAAAAAATTACGAAAAAGGAGTTAACCATAGCGACGATTAAGACTATGATGTAGAAACAATGTTGCTGAAGACAATGATCGCGCGATGGTAATTATTATTGCCAATTATACAGACAAGTGAAGCTGAAGATGTGGCGAAAGACTGAGATACTAATGGTGATTGTAACACGAACTGATCAAAGATAAAAAAAAAGAAGAAAGACGATCACAATAATGATGATAAGTTATAAATACAGATGTTGTTAATGTTGTTGATACTTGAGCAATCATTGTTGTTGATGTTTGTTTTTCATGAATTGTAACTCTTCTCGCAAACTGTACTTTATTCATCGTAGGCTTCATGGTATCTGCCTTTATGGCATCTCTGCATGATCTTCCGAACGGGCATAAATGAACCAAATAGTTTCTACCAAAGACTTTATATCGAATATACATGCATTTATCAATTAGAAATACAGGAAAGATGCAACATCAGTGCTTTTGATATGAGATAATATCCCAAATAGTCAAATCTGTCAAAAAGCAGAATGTTTGCTACAGATTTTGTCGGCAAAATTCGAGCAGAAATAAACAGAAGCTGTTAACTAAATATGATGGCAGATTAACTGCAGAAACCGAGCAGAATCTGCTATTTTATAATTACTATTTAAATACTTAAATACATTTTATTTAAATGATTAGAACAGATTTTCTTTTTGGCAATTTGTTACTAAATTAGGTCAGTAGGCTGTCTAGCAGAATACGAGCTTAATATATAATAAATTGATCTCAATCTTAATACTCTGCTCGAATCTGCTGATAAACTGCTAACATGTTACTAATATTAAAAGAAAATCTATTTAGAGGTTGGTGATCATAAGCATGCATCAAAAGAATTATATGTATTTGATATGTGTTACTTTTGATATATGTCGTTTTCTTCGTTATATTACCGATTTTAAATGCGCTTCTAAATAATCAGATGTATGTGTTATAATCCAAAGCAACGTTATACTACCTCAATTTTGAAATATGGTCGTACTTTTCTTTTCGCAGGCATATAAAAAAAATGATCCATTATGTGTTACTTATGTCTACCTGTGCAAATTCGTGTATATTATATATGAATGATTCAATAATTAAGAGCACGAATATAATAATCATCTTGATAAAGAGTGAGAATAAAGTGTACATATTTATTTGCTTATTATGTAAAAAGAAAATAATGTTTAAAATAATCATTTTGAACTCCTGGTTATACACGTTATTTTTGCATATAATAAATTTTTATCTTTTTTTGCAGAATGTGATATCTATTTAACGTATTTAAAATTGTAAAATCTTCTACTGAAAAATTTATCAGTTTAGACATTCTTGGCCTGGAGAATATATTGTTTTCTGCATAATGATAGAAAATAATAGGAAAATTGTGTACAATATGTATTATTTTTTTACTCATAAAAACTGGGATATAACAAAAGTGCTTGTTTATGTTTCACGGAACATGGAATCTTTCCGTCTTTCCCCTTCGGAAGAGTCTGCAACAATTTGTAAAGTGACTGAACATTATTTTTAACGTGTACTAGTTAATAGTGTTCATAGACATTCCAAAAAAACCTTCCAAAATGAAACAACCGTATTTGTAATCGCATATATGCACGTCATGATTTATTCTATGTAGCAGCTTCAACGCTTTCTATGTATCTAAATATAAATGTATATATAAGTATAAGAGAAAGGGAGAAAGAAGGAAAGGAGAAGAGAGAGAGAGAGAGAGAGAGAGAGAGGGAGGAGAGAGAGAGAGAGAGAGAGAGAGGGAGGGAAGGCTGTCTGGTTTCTGACAGGTCGATACTGAATAGAAATGAAATAAGCAAATATATCATACAATATTTATGATCTCTCTCTTTCTGTTTGTCTTTTTCTCCCTTTCTCTCTTTATTATTATTACTACTACTATTACTTTGATGTACGTTTTTCCCAAAAATGTTAATTATCTGATTCTGTTTTATCTTGCTTTCATTGATTTTTATGTCGTACATTGACTCAGATTTTAATTTAGGCAGAATTAGTAAACTCGATTCAATTTTTTGC